GATTATGGAATGGAGCACTTGTGGGTGATGGAAAGATGAAGGGTGTGGCCGTCTTTGCATAAAGCTTAAGTCAAGTAATAAGTAATGGGAACGCGTTAGACTGAGGAATTTGTGGATTGGTAATTGAAGGAACATATACATTGAAGTCCCCTTGTATGAGGGCAGTAGTGGGGTACGGGGGCATCACATTTTAATGTGTCACCAAAGAACTCAGGTTCAGTTATGATTCATGGAAAAGTTATAAGATGGGTATAAGTACCAATGGCAGCTCCCCAAGTTAAGGGTCCATTTATTTTTTAATGCAGCGAGAAAAAAGTCACTTGTTAAAAAAATGAATATTTTAAGCGATCATAGAAATAAGAGTCACTGGAGTTAAGGGTGGGGTGCTGAATTTGATACCTTCAAGAAAAGCAAGTCGGACCAAAGCACAAATCTGGGGCAAGTTCTGTAAAAACACTTTCCACTCCCCGGTCGCAAACACCCTCTACTGCTAGTGAACTGAAAACTCCTCGTTTTAGATGTAGCAACACTGTCTACTAGAGAGCTGTAATTTTCCACCTAGAAACTAGTAACCTCGTTTCCCGAAACAATAGAGATGCGCTTCAACCTTGGTGACAATGACCACGGATGCCCAACCTTACATACCATTGTCCAGATAGTCTGGACCACTCCACCCCCCACCTTCCTCGCTGAGCCAACACGGCCCGTTCAGCCACTACCAAAGACCATCCGACCCTTCGGAGCCCCTGAAATGCTGCTGCCCCGCAGCCCCGGCCAGAGGAAGGGGCAGCAAGGTCCAGGGGAGGCTGGGCGGGAACCTCCAACCAGGAAGGAGGTGGAAGAGGGCTGGCAGAGCCGCCCACCTAAGCAGGCCAAGGACACACACCTGCCAGCCCCACCATAACCCCCACCAGGGGCTCGGTTCCCCCTCCCCCGGGGGAGGGTAAGCCCCCCGAGGACAGGGGAGGTCTCACGAGCATCTTTGTTCCCCCCAGTGCCGAGCCCAGGGCCTGGCATCCAGCAAGAGCTCAATAAATGCTCCCCGGGCGGAAGCGGGTCGAGCCCTTCCTACAAGCCGCGCTGGGGCGCCGGTCCTTTAACTCCCACCCTCCCTGAGGGGCAGGGCCGAGGCCCGGCCTGACAGCGCCCCCTCCCCGGCCGCGCGCCGGCGCGTGCCCGCCACCCCAGGGCCCGCGCCCCCCCTTGGGCACGGACGCGCGCGCCGCCCCGCGCCGCCATCCCCAACCCCCCACCCCCGCCCCGCGGCCTCCGCCCCACCCGGGCCCGGTCCGCCCCGGCCCTGGCTCCCGCCCCGGCCCGGCCGCGCCGCCTCAGCCTGGGCCCGGCTCGCGCGCCCGCGCGCTCCGGCCCTCCCGCCGGCCCCCCGCGGCGCACCCCGCCGGTGGGAGGGCCCCGGGGATCGGAGAGGCCTCCGCAGCTTGCCCGCTCGGCTCGCTCGCTCACCTCCGGCGGCGCCAGAACCGACAGGGCCTTCTTCCACACCGTTTGAAACCGCTCAGGCCACCGCACCCCGCAGTGTCCTTATTGCCTATTGGCTCCCTCAGGGCCGCCCACCGCGCTCCCATTGGCCGGTTTGAAAGGGCTCCCGGCACGCGCCCGCCGCGCTCTTAAAGGGGCCGCAGGGAGCGGGCCTTCCTCCGCCCCCCCAGCCCCGGGGCGGAGCCGCCCTCCAATCAGTCTGCTTTCGGGGGCTCGGGGAAGAAACGTCCGGGTCCCGCCACCCCCCGCTCAGATGGGAAGGCCCTCGAGGGCCGGGGCTGCTTTCTGCCTTCCTTGGTATCCGCAGCCTTTAGGAGGGCGCTGGGCTTCGTAAATGCTTGTTGTCTTGAATGCGCGGCCCCTGAAATCAACCAGGGATGCTATGCAATGAATGGGATGGGAGAAAGAAGGGGCAGACAAGCCTGGAATGTGCTGAAGGACAGTGGGGGGTCTGAAATAGACAGACTCTTGCCACGTCACTCCCCTGCTCAATAAACTGCCGTGGCTCCCTATTGTCTCCAGGACCCTAGAAACCCCTTCACAAGCCCGATGCCAGCGGTCCTTCCAGCGTCCTTGCTCGGCCCTGACTCCCCTTCCTGCACTGCCCAGTCAGGCCAAACTGGCTTTCTCTGTGCGGCTTGCACTGGGGACTCCACCTTCCCACTCTGACTGCCCTGCCTGCAGCAACACTCCCTCCTTGCCTGCCTACCTGCTTGCCTGGCTGCCTGGTGGAATTCCTCTCCCTTCCAGTAGCCTCAGCTCGCTACTGTTGCCTTCCCGCCCTACATTTAACCACTTTGTATTTATTGGGTACGTTCTTATGATGTATGCATTTAGGTACAGATGATCTCCCCCAACAGAACGTAAGGAAAAACTTCCTAACAGTTAGAGATCTCTAAGTGATGAAAGGGTTTGGAATTAGGAAGCCTCACTTCCCTGAGTTCAAATCCGGCCTCAGACACTTATTAGATGTGTGACCCTGGGCAAGTCACTTCTAACTATTATGTTTCAACCGAGATTAAAAAAAAAGGCAACGGTAGCAATCATGACCTCAGACAAAGAAAAAGCAAAAACAGACCTAATTAAAACAGAGAAACAAGGAAACTATATTTTGCTAAAAAAGTAAAAATAAAAAAGGGGAGGGTACCATAGACAATAAATTAATATCAATACTAAAAATATATGTACCACACAGTCACAACCACATTGTTCGATGACTGACTTCTCAGGAATGCAAGGATCTAAGACAACTTCAAAGGACTCACGATGAAAACCGCTATCTACATCCAAAGAAAGAACTTTGGAGTCTGAATGCAGATGGAAGCATACTATTTGCCTGTTTGCCTCAGTTTCTTCATCTGTCAAATGAGCTGAAGACAGAAATGGCAAACCACTCCAGTATCTTTGCCAAGAAAGCCTCAAATAGGGGCAGCCAGGTGGTGCAGTGGATAGGGCACTGGTCCTGAAAGTCTTGAGGACATGAGTTCAAATATGACCTCAGACCAAATACTTGACGCTTACTAGCTGTGTGACCCTGGGCAAGTCACTTAACCCCAATTCACTGAAAGAAAAAAAAAGCCCCAAGTAGGGTCTAGAAGAGTCAGAACTGACTGAAACAACAAGCAGCAATGTGAAATGGATTTTCTGGAGACGCCTCTTTCTCTTTTAGCCAGAAGCTAGATGACTATAGTGAGGATTCCTTTTTGGTCTGAACTAGGTGACTGCTAAGGTCCCTTCCAGCTCTCAAATTTTGACATTCTGTAACCTTTCTGAGCATCAGATTCATCCTTAAAATTTTTGTTGTTCAGTTGTGTCCAATTCTTCATGATCCCATTTGGGGTTTTCTTGGCAAAGATACTGGAGTGGTTTGCCATTTCCTTCTCCAGCTCATTTTACAGGTGAGGAAACTGAGGCAAACATCATTAAGTGACTTGCCCAAGGTCACCCAGCTAGGAAGTGTCTGAGGCCAGATTTGAACTCAGGAAGATGAATCTTCTTGATTCCAGGCCCAGCACTCTATCCAGTGTGCCACCTAGCTGCCCTTCATCTTTAAAATAGGGGTGATAATAGCACCTACCACAGGGAATAATACCTCTCTACTCACCTTTGTATCTAATACCACCTTTTACCTACTTTGTATGTGTCTTGCATCCATCATCTCCATCTGTCTATCTATGTACAAAATATGTTGTCTCTCCATTAGAATGTGAGCTGGGGTGGAGATGGGAGGGTTCAGCCTGTTTATTTTTTGCCTTTATATCTTCATTGCCTAACACATAGTCCGCTACATTGCATATGCTTAATACAGATTTGTTAATTAGTTGATTTATAATTCATGTGAAGAGCTTTGCAAACCTTAGTGTGTCTCATAAATATGAACTAAAACAGTATGGTTAAGTTTTACATAGAAGAGCCTTCAAAAACTTTCACCAGCTCACCATGTTTTAACCAGCCCCTCCTCTACTTAAGATGTCTGTGTATTATCTTCATTTCATAAAGAAGTAGAGTATTGTTGCTTTGGGTACTATTTCCAATTTTTATTGAGACACTAATTTCTTTCAAGAATTCGGTGAACAGAGGGCAGATGCTGTCTTGTCCACCCTCTGTTTCTCCTCCTGAAGCAGTGTGATGGACACAGGTCGACTATACCTCTAGTCATGAACTATCTGATGCCAGCCTGACCCATTTTGATGTAAGTTGGCAAAATGGACACAGGGAACCTTTATACTCCAAAGAAATCCCTCCTGGTTTCCCAAGCAAGCACAAAGTGTGCTTCTCTCCTTCCGTTCAATAAATGAAAACCCAGCTTAGATTTCTGATTTGATGATCTCTGCTTTCAGCTCTCAACCCACAAAGACTTAGGCAACTGGGTTGTACAGTGGACAGAAACCTGGACTTGGAGTCTGAAGGACCTTAGGTCAAACCCCACCTCAGATACTCAAATCTGTGACCTTGGGCCCGTCATTTAACCTCTCTCAGCCTCAGTTTCCTAATCTGTAAATGGAATAATGGTACCTTCCTCACACAGTTGTTATGAGGATCAAATGAGATGCTGCATGTAAAATGCTTTGTGAACCTTAAGGTGCTATATAAATCCTAACTATTATTATTATTGAGGAGCATGTCGCTAATGGAATGGTCTAGAGACCCGGGAGTTGAAGTTGAATTTCAGTCCTTGAGGGCAGGGGCTATTTTTGCTTTTCTTTGTATCCTCAGCATCTGGCACACAGTAATAAATGATTTCGCATTCCTTCCTTCATTCAGAGATGCTTGCCCACGGTCACATCTGAGGCAGGATTCGAACTGGTCTCCTGATTCCACATCCATTCCAGTTCCATGAGGCCACGCTTTGAAGCAGAATCTTAGCCCAGCTGTCCCCATTGTCTTTTTGCTCAACCCACACCCAGGAGGGCAAGTTCTCCAAGGCAAGGGTCTGCCCTGGGGTGGGGGTGGGGGGGAGGACTGTCAGAGCATCAGTCATGACTCCAAGGCAGGCAAGGTGATTAAGAAAAGCTAAATTTATATTAAATTATCATAAATTCCTAAAATACTGAACATAGTGGTTAAATAACTCCAGAAAGTCCAATCTCTCCAGTGAGTAACGTTAAAACCATTACACATGAGCGCAGGAGAATTGCTTCCATTAGCTTAGGACAAAGATATTTTTTGCTTTTTACATAGTAAATCAGTGCTCAAATAGATAATTCATCAAATATGTCCTCTCTACATTCTGCACAGGCCAGGTGCAATGAGAGCTTTCTCTTTTTCGGGGGAGCTGTTTCCTCACTCCCCTTCCCCCCAAACAATGAAGTTTCCTCCCTCTTCGAGCTGGAAGCCTTGTTCTTTCACTTCTACGGGTGACATCAAAGCTCCCCAGCCCTTTCCTGGTACCCTATCTCGCCCACTCCACACACTCAGAGGACTTCCAGTCCTGGCCATGCAGCTTGCTGGGCCCAGTCTTGGAACAGGCCAGGGAAGGGAGCACTGAGGGAATAAGTAGCTGCCCTGGGCCATGTTAGAATCAGCCAGGAAAGGGTTGTCCTGGTCCTCCTTCTTCACTAGCCTAAGCTGGTACCTGTTTTCTCAATAGTGAGCTATGGGAAGAGCCCGAGTCAGACAAGGTCGGGCCCAGGAACTGCTCAAGTTGGGAAATTGCCAGCTCCTTTCCAAAGAGAAGGGTCTCCTTTCCATGGCTGGGCTGCAGGACCACTGGGAATGTCCCCCCTGCTCTAGGATAGAGGCCAGGAGCATCCCTTCCCTCCTATGCAGCTGCTTCCAAAGTCAGGTCCTACACAGCAGCCTAGGCAGAAGAGACCAGGAAGCACTTAGCTATGGTTGGCTAGGACCTCACTTCCTGGCTCCTAGTCCTTTCCTTCCTAATACTGTGCCATCTTTTGCATGCCTGGTCCCAACTGAACAGAGCCAGGCCATAGCCTGCCACTGCTCCAAGGCTGCCTTCTCTGTCCCCCAACTGATCAGTCTCCCAGGGTCAGAAGATATGAGACTGGGGGCAGATCCCAGAGCCTGAGGGGTGGTGACGGTAGCCATCCCCACAGTCCAGCCCTTTATTTCAAACAGGAGACACTAAAGAAAACTTGCCCTTCCCAGTAACCCTCTTCTCAGAAAGCTCCTGGAGGACCACAATGTAACTAGAGCTGGAAAAAGAAACAAAAGTGAAAGGTGTTGGTGGAAGGTAGGGGCCAGCATCCCTCCCCTTTCCTCTGCTCTGGCACTAGCCTGAGGCTTATTGCCTCCTGGGAGAATGGGTACATGCCAGAAGATAGCAGCTAAGCTAATTGATTCCAACATGAAAAGCTGTGATGGGATAAGGTCTTTCATTATCCCATCAGCTACAGGCTTACATCATGGTGTTGTTTAGAGAGAACTTCAGAGGTTCAGCTTCCTTAACACTTTCCTTCAGGCTCTGGACAGCCCAAATCTCCACCCTGGCCAATCCACCTGACCATTCCTGGAAACTTCTGGTCACTCCCTGAAACGTTCGTTTGGAGAGTGCTGGAGGATACTTGGAGAAGCTTTCAAATTACAGGACAGAGACCTGCATTTGGTCCAGCTGGTGCATCTCAATGGATACTGCACGGTCTGGGCCCCCAAGTCATTCCGGGGACCTGACAGACTGCTTCAAGGACCACTTCCTTTTGAGAAGGTTCTGACCAGTAATGGAACCAGGAAGACTTTGATAAGCAGGAAATTCATGACAGGCACCCACAGACCTAGGTAGGCAGATGGGGCCAAAACCAGAATCCTGGTAGAAAGGAAAGGTTGTTGGGAGACTTGGAATCCTTGCATCTCAGAGATGGAAGGGTCCAAGGAAGCCCTCTGGTTCAACCCCTACTAAATAACTGTCCCTCTACAACCGCAGCATGTGATCATCTGGCCTTTGTTCAAAGACCTCCAATGAGGGGGAGGCCACTCATGGTGGAGCCAGCTGCAGCATCAAAACCAAAACAGCAGGTATTGCTACTGACTTCTAGGGACCTAATCAGTGACTTCTAGGGACCTAATAATACCGTCCATTGCCAGCAATGGACACCCAGGCCAGCCCACCTTTCAAAAACCTTTCCCTATTTTCAAAAGACTGGGGGTTCTATGGAGATAGGAGGTTTGCTGGCAAAATCAGAGAGGATGCCCATACCGGCTGGGCCAATTCTCCTCTCTTCTCAGCCCTCACTCATCGCTAGGTCTTCCCTTCTGTCCTTAGTCTCTCCCTCCATCCATTCCTCCCTCCTTACTCCAGCTACCGGCTGGGCAAGTAAGTCCCCACTAAGAAATAGCTCTAGTGACTCGGACAGATGAGCCTGGGGCCTCTGCTGAGGAGCTCAAGGTGCTAAGGGAAGGGAGTGAGCTGGATATCAGCACTGAAGAATGAGTCAAACCCAGGCCCGACTTCAGAAGGCTGTTGTGCTCTCAGGACCAGGTATGAGCGGGCAGGCTTGGCGACCACGTCTGGATCTGAGTGGTCCTGTTGAGGCATCGGTTCTCGTGCGGATGCAGGCGTGGACAATGGTGAGAACAGCTCCAGTGGGGAGTCTGGGGATGGGGATGGGGTGGGACCCGGGTGGGGAGGGCTGGAGGGGACAGGGCTGGTAGTTTGTTTTCGAGGGAGAAGGACCAGAGGGGTAGGAGGGGCATCTGGGCACTTAGACCTGGCTCTCAGTGGAGAGTTTGCGTTCATGTTTCCAGCCCGTGTCTGGCAGCGAGCCGCGCCTCTCCGGGGTGGCGACGGCGGTGTGGACACTGCTGCACTCTGACTGCTCTTCCTGGAGGAGTTGTTCCGTTTCAGTATCATCCAAGGAGCCGGTGCTGGCCCGGATGGATAGCGTGTCTGTCTTCATGCACACGTGGTCCCGGAGGAGCAGACCCCCCCTTGAGCCTCGTAACTGCTTTAGGTCATCCCACTCGGCATCGTCACCACCGCCCGACAGGAGGCAGATGCCCTCCACGATCTTGATCTTCTCCTTGGTGTAGTTGTGCTCGGGCCCAGCCTACGGCAGAAGCGGGAAGAGAAACAAAGTCATGTCTCTGGCCAGTGTTTTGCTGAGGGGAAAAGAACACTACGAGGATTTGGGAAAGGGAAAGAAAGGAGGAGTGAGTTAGCCCCAATTCATCACACAGGCAGGGGAAATTCACCCAAACACCCAAAGATCAGCCTAGGGTCGGCTCATCCTACTGACTCCCCAGGTTCTAAGCCTGATTTAGGCCCTAATCCCCTGGAGGACCTGGGCCAGAGAGCAGGACCTTTGGGCTCAGTTCCAGAAAGGGTCCTTAGAGGTCTATCTTCCTTATTCTATGAATGCAGAAATGGAGGCCTAAAGGAACATGGGATTTGGCCATTTATACAGGTGGTGAAAGGTGGAGCTGAGATTCCCACCCAAGTCTACTGATTATGAATCCAACGCCTTCCATTATATAGCAGACTGCTTCTTCCTCATCCGTAAAGCTAAGGGGTTGGTCTAAGTGAACTCTAAGATCACTGAGAGCTTGTAAGGCCCCTCCCAGCTCTGACATTCTCTGTTCTATGGCCCCTCCCAGCTCTGACATTCTCTGTTCCAAGGTCCCTCCCAGCTCTGACATTCCCTGTTCCAAGATGCCTCCCAGCTCTGACATTCCCTGTTCCAAGGCCCCTCCCAGCTCTGACATTCCCTGTTCTAAGGTCCCTCCCAGTTCTCACATCCTATGTTATAAGGTCCCTCCTAGTTCTGACATTCCATGTTCTCAGATTCCTACAAGTTCTGACATTCTCTGTTCCATGGCCCCTCCCAGCTCTGACATTCTCTGTTCTATGGCCCCTCCCAGCTCTGACACTCTCTGTTCCAAGGTCCCTCCCAGCTCTGACATTCCCTGTTCCAAGGCGCCTCCCAGCTCTGACATTCCCTGTTCCAAGGCCCCTCCCAGCTCTGACATTCCCTGTTCTAAGGTCCCTCCCAGCTCTGACATTCCCTGTTCTAAGGCCCCTCCCAGCTCTGTCATTCTCTGTTCTGAAGTTCCTCCTAGCTCTCACATTCCCCATTCTATATTCTACTGCACCTTCCATCTCAGGCATTCTATGTTGGAAGATCCTATCAAGCTCTAAGATTTTATAACTTTATGATAATATGCAAAAGTGTTGCCAAATATTAGTCACTCGATCTGCATTTGGCTAACAAGTGATTTACTCGTCAAAAGATTTTAAAGTACAGTAGACAATGTTTCTTTATTAACAATGACTCCCTTTCTATGGAAGCAAGAGTATGCACCCATCCATGGAGGTTCAGAATGACCTGGAGACTGGCCTGTGGGCAGCTGGCTGCCTCAGGGATCACACTGGCTGGACCAGTGAGAAGGACACTGGTCTTGGAGCCAGATGCCTGGGGTTCAAGTCTAGGTTCCGCCATTTGCGAAGTCTCACTTCACCTCAATTTCTTCCATCAAACAATGAGGACAAGAATCCCAGCTTCAGAAGGAAGTCTTCCCTCTCTTCATTATCTCCTGCTTTTCCTGTATGCGGTTTGTTGGTACATCGTGGCTTACCTGTTGTCTCCCCCATTAGATTGGAAGCTCACTGGGTGCAGGGACTGTCTTTTGCCTCTTTTTCTTTTCTTTTTTTCTGTATCTCTAGTACTTTAGCACAGTGCCTGGCACATAGGAACCAATATTACTTGGCTGACTATCTACCTTTCTCCTTGTCTCACAGGGTTGCTGTGAGGACAGTACTTTGTAAATCACAAGGCACAGTACAAACATGAGCTGTTATTACAATCACTCCAGAAATGCAGGAGCTGAAAAGCCGAGGGACTAGTCATGCAAAGAAAAGCTAAAGCATGCTAAGAACACAGAAATGGAAGGGACCTCAAAGGCCATCTAGGCCAATGCCTTCATTTTACAGACGAGGAAACTAAGGCCCACAGAGTGGAAGTGGCTGGCCCAGGTCACACAGGGGGCAAACTACAGAGCTAGAATTCAAGAATGAAGGATGATGCAGGGACAGGGCAGCAGCCCTGGGGTTGCCCTGGGGATTACCCATGAAGCATAAGGAGACCCGGAACAGGGTTTCTTCACCATTTTTGTACACTGGAATCCTTTGGCAATCTGGTGAAGCCTAAGCTTGGCCCTGCTCAGACTCATGTTTTTAAATACATAAAATAAAATACATGGGATTACACAGGAAACCAATGATGTCAGAATAAATATATGATCTTTTTCCTATCCAAGTTCACATCTATCTATATACTTCTAACTTGGCAGTAGATGTATCTATCTATGTATCTATATCTAGATCTCTACACACAGATATATATATATATACATATATTCCTTTCTTTTCTCCCTTCCCCTTATAACAAAGAATAATAATAGCTAACATTTACACAGTGCTTTAAAGATTTGTAAAGCACTTTCTATCTGTTCCCTCATTTCAGCCTCACATCAAACCTCTCAGTTTAAGAATTCCTGACCTAAAGGAGGCATATACGGGCAGGTCTTCTGTGGACGATGTCTGGGAGAATGATGCAAGCTGGAAAGCCACGGATGGACTGTGATCTGAGCCAGTGAAGGGAATACCTACTGATGAGGCCATCAACTCACTGAAGTATTATTATTGTGACCCACATTCTTAGCTTGAATTATGATTGAGTTGGCCCTAACTGCTCTGGTCCTTCCTCCTCTTTTTTTTTTTTTTAAATATTTGGCCCTGTCCCTGAAAACCCCGACTCCCCTCCAAGCAGCCAGAAGCTGCTCAAGGTTTAGACCTAAAGGCCCCTTTGGCTCCTTCTGTTTTTCCTGATTCCTCTAGGAGAAACCTCACTCCTGGTTCCGGGGGGACCAAAAAAAAAAATTTGCAGCCACTAGTGAGGAACACGGCTGTTCTCCAAAGAAAGCGGGCCGAGGCCTGGGCTCTGCCCTCCTGACTACATTTCCTTCCAACCATGGCAAGGCAGCTGCTGTATTTCAAGAACAAACACCTTGATGTGACACTGCCCCCCTCCACACACACACACACCTCGCCCAAGCCAAGATTAGTAGAAAGACCAGGCTCAAGGCACTGGGTGCCTTCCTCACAGAACCCACTGAGCAAGTTAGGAAGAAGCCAGGGACCAAAGGTCAGGGATTCCAAGGAACATCCTCTAGTCCTCAGAGGCACACCCACACACATGCACACACACGTACACACGTGCACACACACTCAGCAAGTACCTGACGTGAAGAGGTGGGAGGAAATCAGAAGAGAAAGGGAGAAAGGCTCTCAGAGGGGTGCGAGAGCTGCCAAGGAGGAAAAACAGAAGGGGGTGGGGGTGGGGGAGAAAAGGGTCACAAGGCTTTCATCTTCCACCTGTGAGCTGCAGGAGCTTCAGAAGTACCTGGAGCCCCATCTCCAGGGACCTAGAAATCCCACCTCATGAATGCGGCTGTTTCCTCCTCCTTCCCTTGTGGAAGTGGGGGACAAGGAGTATGTAACACTGTATACACAATGTTGGATGTGACCTATGTGTTGGTTAGTTCTACTGAGGGGGCCATCTCCAGTCCTCCTGATCCCTATCTGGCTCCAGAGGAGAACATGAGGCTGGTGACTTTGCACAGCCCTGCCTCGCTTAAATCCAATTCACTTGCATGTTATGGCATCACCTCCCTGATCTCATGGTCCTCTTCAAGAAAGAACAAAAGACAAACAACAGTTTTACTGAACTGGCTCCCCTCCCAGTAGTTCTTTTTTATTTGTTGGCCGCTAGGTGGCAGCAGTGTATAGAGTGATGGAATCGGAACCGAGAAGACCCAAGTTCAAATTCTATCTCAGACATTTTGACCCTGGCAGGTTATTTAAAAAAAAAAAAAAGCTCATGTCAGTTTCCCTATCTATAAAATGGGGGTGATAATAGCACTTATCTCAAAGAATTTTAGGCATCACATGAGATAACATGTAAAGTTCTTTCCCAACCTTAAAATATTGCATAAATATTAGCTATTATTGTTTATAAGGGATAAAGGAAAAGCAAGGAAATATAATGGGAAATGAGTATGATAGAAAAACAAAAGGTATCAGTAAAAACTAAAACATGCTGGAGGCATTTGGGGGGCACTGTGGAACAGTGGAAAGAATGTTCGACTTGGAGTCCGGGAGAACTGAGTTCAAATTCTGTCTCTCACACTTACTAATTCTGGAACCCTGGGCATGCCAATTAAGTCTCAGTTTTCTCATTTGTAAAATGAGGAGGTGGCAAACCACTCCAGTGTCTTTGCCAAGAAAACCCCAAAAGGGGTCACGAAGAGTCGGGTATGACTGAAAATGACTATACAACAATAGTGCTTACCATAGTGCCAGGCACATAGTAGGCACTTAATAAATGTTTATTGAATAAATGAATGAAGTCTTCCCGGCTTTCCCCTTTTTTCCCTCCACTCCCCAGTTCTTTTTCAGTCTCTCTGTTTAGACTTCCATCCATTTAGCATATTAACCTCTACTGGAGTCATTGTCTATTTGTCTTACCCCTGCACACCTTCCCCATAAGTCTTTAAGCTCCTTGAAGATAGGTACTGTCTTGCTTCATTTTTATATCCATAGCTTTAACCCAAGGAACACCATATAGTAAGCACTTAATAAAGGTTTGCCATGTTAAATTGAATTAGCCACAAATTTGAATAGGACAGTAAATTCTTTTCCTACAATAGAATATAAGTTCCTTGAGGGCCAGAATGACTTTCTTTTTCCTCTTTGTATCCCCTCTTTGTAGCACTGGACTTGGTACATAGAAGACAATTACTAAATGTTTATTGGACTGACCTCACTCCTCACCTCTTTCTTATAGCAGAGCTGATTATACATGGTTGGTTTTGGGATAGTTTCAATCTTCACTTCCTGGGTGGAGGTCCGGTAGGAAGGATTGCTGTAGGTCAGGTTTCCCAGGCCAGGATCGGTAAATTTGAATTTCTTGTGTCTAAAGAAAGATGGCGAGAAGAAGGAGAAAAAAGGGTCAGGTCCGATTTTGGGGGTGGTCACGAATGGAGCCTCCAGCTCAGAAATACTGGCTCTGCTTGTGCGTAGGCAGGACCCAACCCATGGAGAGAGGCCACTAGAATGTCCATGGTCACAGCTAAGTGGGGCTTGGCGAGCTCCAAAGGGAAAGGGCGATGTTTCTGAGTAGAGCCATCGGGAGGAAGAATATCAGGAGAGTGGACTTCAACCCAAGACGAGGATGGAAGGGATCACAAGAACGTCGCTTTCGTCTAGACCTGCCATTCTGGCAGTGTAGACACTGCAGATTGGTGACTTGTCTCTAACTTAGGATCCTAGCTCGGTGGCTGGAAGGGACCTGAGAAGCAATCAAGCGCCACTACTCCACTTAACAAGTGAAGAAAATGAGGCCCACAGAGGCAAAGTGACTTGTCCAGGGTCACAAAGATAATAATAACAATCCCTAACATTTACATAGTGTTTACATCTTTTATAATATAACAGCACACATTCATATGTCACTTTAAGGTACAGAAAGGGCTTTACAGATATTATCTCATTCAATCCTCGAAATAATATGGGGAGGTGGGTGCTATTATTATCATCCCCATTTTACAGTTGAGGAAACTGAGGCAGACAGCTGACATGGCTTGCCCAGGGTAAGCATCTGAGGCAGGATTCAAACTCAAGTCTTCCTCACGCTTTACCCACTGAACCACCTAGCTGCTTCAAATAACAGGTGATCTCTTCTGACCCTCACAACTGAGTGAGTTAGAGTCTGTTATTATCCCTGTGTTACAGAAGAGTGCACACAAGCTGAGAAGTTATGTGACTAGCTTCCTCCATGATAAAAGGGGGAGGTTGAACTAGGCAGCCTCAAAGGACCCTTCTGAGGGTCAGTGTCTAGACTTGAACACAGGACTTCTGCCTCTCTGAGGTTGAGCTAAAGGGCTACATCTGTTGAAAAGGAAACCTATTTGGTATCTCCACGGCCTCTTCTGCTGCCCTGAGCCAGGGCGCGTGCCTTTGGGGAGACTTGGGATGAGTACGGCCAGAGGCCAAAGGCAGGGGACATGAAAGAAGACAGAACCGGGGTCACCGAGAAGGACGATGGCTGAGCAAGCCATGAAGGCTTGGAGCCCTAGGGTTACCTGTACAGCATGAGAGCAGCGATGAGAAGGAGGATGAGCACGATGCTGAGGAGGCCGCCAATCACGTAGCTGACATGGAGCCCTTCCCCTAGAGGAGAACACGGCAGGACAATCACTGAAACTGACGGACGTGGCTCTTTAAAGGAGAAGCCTCACAGAGATCTTGTTAGATCAGAACTCCCGGTCCCACTAGGTACAGGGGAAAGGATGCTGGCTTTGGAGGAAGAACCCCTGGGTTCTAATCCGAGCTTTATCACTTGTGTGATCACCTGTGTGATCCTGGCAAATCATTTAACCTCTCTGGACCTCAGTTTCTTCATCTGTAAAATGCTGGGGTGAGACTTCATCTAAACCTATGATCTTATGACAGATGAGGAAACTGAGGCTCAGAAAAGTGAATTGCCCATGGTCACACAGAAGCAGGATGCAAACTCAGGCTTTCCTGACCCCAAGTCCAACTAGGCCATGGGTTCTTAACCTGGGCTTATGCTGATCCTCAGAGTCTTTGAATAGATTTTTTTGGGGGGAGGGTCTGAAAACTTGAATAAGAAAAAAATACAACTTTGTTTTCACTACCCTTTAATTGAAATTTAGCATTTCCTCCAATTATTTATGTCTGTTTATTTATCCAATCATTCATTCATTCATTTTTAGTTTCAATATAGGAAAAAACATCATGGCCAGTAGAGCTACCATAAATTGGAATGCGCTGCTTCAAGAGGCCTTCAGTTGAAGTCTTCAGGCAAGCCTCTAATTGTTTAAAAACATTGTTCTAAGAAGAGGTTCGTGGACTTCACCAAATTATAAAGTGATTTATGAACCCAAAAAGGTTAAGAGCATCATCACTGGGCCACCCTGCCCCCACAGAAGCCCTAGGCAAGGACCACCACAATCCTCTGTCTCAGGCAGTCAGGGTTAGTGATGGATCCAACTTAACCCATGCAGTAAGTTGCTTTATCTCAAACAAAGGGTTTGGGAATCTCTGGGAACCAGCTGGCAAGTGATCTCCCTCTATCTCACCTCAAGATGAGGAAAGACCTTTCTCTCAGGCCCATAACATTTCCTTAGCTCCCTTTCCCTACCTTTCTCCTTCAAAGAAGGGTAGCTGGGGAATTCAGAAGAACATGGGAAGGCTACATGAACTGATGCAAAGGGAAGAAAGCAGAACCAATAGTCTACATGTAGTGATTACAGCTAAGTAAAGAAAAAACATTAAAACATTTTTGAATTTAGATTGATTACAACAAGAGGTGACAGAACAGACTTCCCTCCTCTTGGTAGATGCAGAAGAAGCTATAGATGTGGAATGCTGCATATCTTTTCAAAACAGGTGGCTTTGTTTTTATTTAAATGAATGTTTTATTGATGCCTTTTGTTTTTACAAAGTAGCCAAATCTAAACATTCCACCTCTGACACCTACCTATCCCATGAGCTTTCCCTTGTGACAAAGAAAAACAGTTAAGTGAAACCAACCCCAAGGTAACCATGTTTGACAATGCATGTACTGTTCTGTACTCATATTCCCCTACCTCTCCAAGGAAAGGAGGAAGGGAGGTCAATTTTCTCAGCCCTTCTCTAGGGCCAAGATTGGTCATTATAATGACTAATAATAATAATAACTAATATTCATATGTTTACTATGTGCCAAGCACTAGGCTAAGCACTTTATAAATACTATCTCATTTGATCCACACAACAAGCATGAGGTAGGTGCTATTATTATCCCCATTTTACAGATTAGGAAACTGAGGCAGACAGAGTGAAGTGATTTGCCCAGGGTCACACAGACATTGAGAGCCTGAGGCCATGTTTATGCAGTCTCTTTTTGGTGTTCTTTTACTAACTTTCTTGTAGTCATCCTAAATCTTGGTTTTTTTGTTCTACTTACATTACTCTGCATCAGTTCAGACAAGTTTTCCTCTGAGTTTCTCAAACTCATCATAAGAGCTAGCATTGATAAAGCGCTTTCAGGTTTGTCAAACACTTTACATGTTTTATCATTTGATCTTTATAGCAGCTCTTTGAGATAGGTACAATTATCATTCCTATTTTTTACAGATAAGGAAAATGAAGCTGAAAGGTGAAATGCCTTGCCCTACGGTCAAACAGCTTGTAAGTGTTAGACACAGGATTTGAACTCAGGTCTTTTTAACTCTAAATCTGGAACTCTATTCAAGATGCCACTTGGCTACTATCACTATTGGTTATATTTTTCCTAACCTTTTATTTGTTAAAAGAGAGAGTTCAACGGAGAGAGAGAGGGGAGCATGTTGGGAAATGATTGTAGTATTTAAAAAATAATTAATAACATTTTATATATTTTTTAAAATGAAAGGAAAAAAAGTTTAGTGTCTGAGAGACTGAGAAAGAATATCTAATTATGAAGATATGCCCATTCAGATCAGGGACTATGCCAAGGGATAGGCTTCTCAGCCCCCAAAGACTTTCCCCAAGAAAGTCAAGAAAGGTGTCACTGGGAACTTTGGTTTCCAGCACCCTCAATTCCCAGGTCCTTGGTACTCACCTGGAGCAGCAGGTACAGCCTCATTGGAATGTGCACAGAGGCCCTGGCCACCATCTTTCTCTGAGCAGCTGTGGGGCACAAGAAAACAGAGAATTAAGGCTACCCCTAGCACAGTACAGATTTCTCCCCTCCTCCACGGCAGGGGCAAGGCAATGTCTTGACCTATAAGGAAATGATTTCAGAAAACTGACAGGAGAGATTCCAAATAAGGTGAGATAAAACAAACAAACAAACCTGGACAGGGCAGAACCATGGTAAGGGCTTGATGGCTACATATGACTTGACGTTTGAGTTGCACAAGTGTGCTTAGGTGTGCTGTTAAAGATATGTTTGTTTGTTTTTAAAGTATGATTTCTTTTAAAATTAGGAGCAAGTTGGGAAGTGAGCTAGAAGCCAGCAGAGGTTAGTAGAACTACACGTGAATGTCAAAATGTAATAAGAAGGGGGAAAAGCCTACAGACAAATAGTTCATCTACTTGCCAAGGAAGGACCTCAATGGAAAAAAGGCCATCATAGGCTTTTAAGTACTCAGTATTCTCCTGAAATGTGATCCCCCCACATTGCTTTTGAAACATGAAGGAGAGTTCAAAAGGCAACTTAATATTCCTTCTCTATTAGGTTATAAGTGAGCAGTTAAAGGTTTCTTCTGAAAAATTAGAGAAAAATCACCTGTGAGACAGGGAAATGTTTATTCTAAACTTCCCTAAGGTACTGAAATGCCAGAACCAGGAATCACATATATGCCCTGATGTAATTTCTAACTCCAAGAAATGGTTTGGGGGTAAATTCCAGCCTGGCAATAACTAGAATTAGATTAAGCAGTGAATGGGAATTGATATAAAGTTGATGAAGGCACTGGATTATGCCCAGATTATGTTTTATTCCTTTAACTTTTGTTGTATGTTGTGTTTATATTTTAAACTTATATATGTATATATATTAGAGTAATTATTTTATTAAGTTGATAAAGTTCTAGAGCAGGCATTATTATGTGTAAGTATATGTGGGGTGGGGGGTGGGGGGGGTGTAGCACCAAAGAGAGATTCCTTTAACCACACCTGGATACAAGCTTTCTGTCCAAATCATGAGGCTGTAGCACAGGCATTGTCTACATGGTAGCAGCTGATAAACGCTTACCTGTAGGCATAGTACTTAGGAAGCCTTACCAAATAAAACCTATAGAATAATGGCAAATATTAAAGGGAGGAGGGCCTGACAGATTCCAGTCATGGAGGTCCCTCATTTATTGTCTTTTTTTTTTTTGGCTAGACAATGGGGTTAAGTGACTTGCCCAGGGGTCACACAGCTACTAAGTGTTATGTGTCTGAAGCTGGATTTGAACTCAGGTCCTTCTGAATCCAGGGCCGGTGCTCTATCTGCTGTGCCACCTAGCTGCCCCTCACTTATTGTCTTTTGAGTGAATCTCTTGCAAGCACAATATTGTTTCTTTCAGAGCTGGAGAGGAAATGGTCACACCTCTACCTTGCAGGGCTCCAAAATATGGAATTTGATGTGATATAAAAATGAGAAACAGCATGTGGAATGAACACAGGATCTGGAGGACCTGAGTTCAAGTCTTCCATCTGTTGATTGCTACGTATGGGATGTAAGATGAAAGGACTGGACTTGGAGGCCTCTGAGCTCTTTCCAGCCCCAGTCTCTTGTTCTACGCTGTGAACAGTGCTAGCCGGGTCCTGGGAGCAGAATTCTCCAGCTGGACTTACAGTTCTGTCACCAGTGAAGTGGATCAGTGTTTGAGGGGGACAGAAGACTCAGTCATCACTGCCTCTGACAGTCACCTCCAACCTCACTCCTCACCACTTGCAAATCCTCCTTACCTTCCTTCAGATTCCTCCAGGGATGTGCGGGTCCGAGCTGTGGAGGAGCGGGATGTGGTAGGCGGGGTGTTGGGTGGCGCTGGGCTCTTCTCACTCATGCTGGTGGACTTGGGAGCTGGCGGCACCAGGCCAGGCACTAAAGAGAAAGTGGAATTTGAGCGTGACATGGAGGGCTGAGGCCGACGTTGTGAATTGCAAGGGTAGCACACAGAAGGACTAAGGCAGGGAAAAATAACAGAGGCCCTGTCCCAGGCTCCCTCAGGAGGAGGTACTATCTAGAACAGTAAATAAACCATATAATATAATAAACCAAATAATTTACAGATGGGGAAACTGAGGCTCAGGGAAGGGAAATGACTTGCCCAAGGTCACAGAGGCTGTAAGCATCTGATTTGAACCTGGACTAGAGCTCTTTTGACTGTACCATTGATCATCAATTCTGATGGCTCTAGCCATTAAGTGACATTAGGGACACAGAGAGCCAAGAGGCCTAGATTTGAGTCTCGACTCTGCTCCTGATGTTACGAGTGACTTTCTTTTTTTTTTCTGGGTTTCTGTCACTGAGGTTCACACTCAAAGGATAAAATAAAGATACAACCAAAAGACCCACAGAGAAAGGCTCACATAGCATGGACAACAGCAGTTCACATTTATAACAGGCTTTTAGGTTTGCAAAGAGATTTACCTACATTACCACCATGGGAGGTGCTATCATTCTCCCCATTTTACAGGTGAGAAAACTGGGGCTGAGTGAGACTGAGCTACTCAGAAATGGCACAGTGTGGTAAATAGAGCACCAGACTGGGTTCAAATTCTACCTCAAACACTTTGGGCATGTCACGCGGTGCCTCAGTTTCCTCATCTATGAAAAGGAGGGGCATTGGATTTGCTGGCCTGAAGGGCCCCTTCTAGCTCTAATGCTGTAAAGCTATCATCCTATCATTTGCTGATGGTCAGGTAGGATGAGGCAGAGACTTATTAATTCTTCTTCTCCCAAAGGCTTCCATGTGCTAATGGCCTCTTCTGTTCACAACCCACCTAGAGAGCAGGGCCGGTCATCAAGTTCATCAGGGCAGGCACAGACAAAGTCCAAGGCTCTGGCAAAACAGAGATGGGTACAACCACCATTGTTCACGCCACAGGCATTGGTTCCTAAGGACAAAGAAATCAAGTGTCCAATCAGGAACAGTCAGTGAGAAAGTTTCGCCGACTCTACTTTTGCCAGGAAGGTAAAGAGAGGATGAAATTTAACTCAAGCCAATTCAATAAACATGTATCACACATATTAAGAGTCTCCTATGCACTAAGTATTGTACTCAGTGCTGGAAATATAAAGAAAAACATGAAATAGTACTTGCCCTCAGATATATATGTACAAGCTAGTAAAGACAAAAGCATCCCAAGTTATTTATCTAAAATAATTTCATGAAGAAGAAAGAGCTCTCAGAGTAACTGGGAGGAATAGGAAAAGGCCTTTGGTAGAAGATCCAGCCCTGGGGGATGGTGCTACTAGAGAGGTATAACCAGGGGGGTGGAGTGGAGGCTGAGAATGGATTCTACCAGCTTAGAAGCAATACCTCAAGGTATTGCTATGATTCTATGACGTCTAAGGTCCTTTGAAGCTATAAATCTTTGATCCCATGAGGCAGCGTGGTGCAGTGGCTAGGGCATGGGAGTCAGGGAGATGTGGGTTCAAATCCCACCTCTGATACTTAACTACCCATATGACTTGAGGCAAACCACTGAACTTTTCTGCTCCTCAGCTTCTCACTTGTCAAATGAGAGGCTTAGACAACTTCTAAGGTCCCTTTTAGGTTCTAAATCTATAACCTTGTCATCTCTGGAAAGCCTTATTTTGTAGGCACCAAGGGCTCTCAGAGGCTGTTTCTGAAAACGAATAAGAAGCAGGAGCAAGAGGCAGCTACCTGTCTGCCGCTGAGGGGAGACCACGATGATGTCCATGAGCCCCTCCACGTTAGCCAGCACGGTCTCCTTGTTCCTGCCCGAGTACTTGTCTACACGTTGGATTGACTTGGTCTGCCAGTCTGTCCAGTAGATCCACCTGTCTTGCTGCTCATCAAGGAAGCCCAAAGAAGAGGGGAGGGGTCACTCAACTGGTCAACGATTGGCAGCTAGATCTAGTCTCATCCCAATGGATGCCAAGAAGGAATTCTCTTAGCAAGTGAGCTCTCAACTTGTGGCCCTGACCTGATCTTTCCTTATTGTTGTTCTGGGTTATAACAAAAAAAAAAAAACAAAACAAAACAAAACCCTACACTCTGCCTAGTACCCTTATATTTTGTAGGTCACTTCCTTTTCTACAGAGACTCTGTCCTGGAATGTGTCAGTCAGGGGCAGAGCTGCTTCAGTGCCAGGCTCCCCCCAAAGGCCCTTCAGAGCCATGGCAGAGTCTGGATACTCCAAAGAATGGAAATTTCCAGTGGGGGAAAGGGACACCACTCTGGCCTCAACCCACAAGGCATCACTAGTAGACACTCCTGAAATTTGTAGCATTTTTAGCAAAGTGATGCAGTTGGTCCATCTGGGCAAACATGACCCTGAATGACTGACCTGAGAACTCTACAGTAAGAGTTCTGTCGCACTCCAGCCAAGAAGCTTTAGTTACTTCTGCCATTCCACACCCTCCCTCCTCCAGGGCTACCCGTGTTACCTGTGTGAGAGCAAATGGATGGGACACATGGCTGACCAAGATCTGCCGCAGCTTTCCATTGAGGTCGGCACTTTCAATCCGGTCCAAGTGAGCATCCACCCAGTAGATCCTGTGGGAGGGAAGAAGCTGTAGCTGGGAAGAGGGGTGGTAACAGGAGCCCTGGCATCCCCCAATGACCTGTCTCCTCTCAATCAAGCCAGTCACCTACATCATGAGTGCTCAGGAAGAGGGCAGACTGGGCCTTGGGACTAAAGAAGAAGAATGGGTGATTGGTCAATGGGTAAAAGGAGAGAGACCTGAGGAAGTATGGGATGCCTTCCCTCCTATTCACTATGACTGCGCCATGGCTTGAACCCAACTTGAGAGTGGGCCCCAACATACAGACATACTCCCTCAGGAGCAGAAGAGAGAAATGGGGTAGAAAGACACCCCAATTTTTTTCATCTTAATTCAATGCAATAAGCATTATTAGGGGCCCAACATATGCTAGATCAAGTCAGTAGAGCATCATGGATAAAGAGATGGTCGTGGAACCAGAAGACCTGGGTACGGTATAAGGTCTAACTCTGAAATATACTGGCTGCATTACCCTGGACAAGTCATGTAATATCTCAGTACTCCAGGTGCCCCCTCTAAAACTGTAAGTGGTAGAGAAGGTGCCAATCTGCATTGGTAAAGGCAGGGTGTATCTGGGAGTTCTCTAGGCCAATTAAATTATAGGCCCACTTATTATCCCCAACCCATGTGACAGATGGGGCAGCTAGGTGGCACAGTGGATAGAGTCCTGGGCCTGGACTCATCTTCCTGAGTTCAAATCTAGCCTCTGACACGTACTAGCTACATGACCCTGGGCAAGTCACTTAACCCAATTTGCCTCAGTTTCCTGATCTGCAAAATGAGCCGGAGAAGGAAATGGCAAATCACTCCAGTATCTTTGCCAAGAAAACCCCAAATGGGTTTTGAAGTGTTGGACCAATTGAAAAATAACTGAACAAAAGTGATAGATACTCAGCTAACTGCTGGAGATACAAAGGCAAAAATAAAGTAATCCCTGCCCTCAAGGAGCTTATATTCTAACTCTACCTCTTCACTTCTGAGTATCTACAAACAACTTAAGAGTCCCTCCTACCTCTATGACTTTCTCTCTCCTTCCCCCTTTATTCTAGGCAGGTGCTTCCGATTTTCCCTCCCTCCTTTTCCTCTTCTCCAGTTCCCTAACAAAACCCAGAATGGACTGGTAGGTTGGAAGGCGATGGCCACCGGAATTCCTTGGACTTCACTCTGCCTGCCTGGTGTCTGAGGAGGACTCTCACCTTCGGGTATCATAGTCCAGGGTGAGGCCATTGGGCCAGCCCAAATCTGTGTTGATGAGTAATTTCCTCTCGGAGCCATCCAGGTTCGACCGCTCAATCTTGGCCAGGTGGCCCCAGTCTGTCCAGAAGAGGTACCTAGGCCAAAGCAGTCATGTGACTCCTCATAGAGGAAGAAGAGAGCATCTGGGTATGGTGGGGGTTGGTGAGATGATAGGAAAAACCAGTGCTTCTCAAACATTTTTGCTCATGATCCAGGGTTACCTTTGGTCATGAGGAACTGCAGCATATGGCGGCAGAGTTAGGAGACTCATACTTGTATAAGTTCTAAATAATTTCTGGGGTGCACACAATTGCACGGATAAGCTTCATGCAATGCATGGCACCCCTAGAGGAAGCTCTTCATAAGTGGAGAACCTCTGGGTTGGGCAGAATCTTCAGAGATGCTACTGCAGGTTCCTTTTACAGGGTGACTGCAGTGCTAAGGCCATCGGTGCCCACCATCTGCCCAGTCACATGACAAGCTTCCATAAGGCACAGCCTTCCTGCACAGGATGGCTCTCCTTTCTTCTGGCTTCAAACTCACCCCTTTCTAGGGAAGGCGGCGATGGCCCTGGGTTCATCCAGACTGTTGTTGATCAGCACCTTCCGGCAGGAGCCGTCCAGCCTTGAGGCCTCAATGGTGTTCCGGCCTGTGTCTGTCCAGTACAGGTTTCTGGCCACCCAGTCGACCGCGAGGCCATCAGTGGTCTTAAGCCCCCGTCCAATGACGGTCTCCATGTTACTGCCATTCAGGTCAGCTCGCCTTGGGGACATCAACTCAATGTTAGGGGAGGGAATAGATTTTACCAGGCGTATCAGGACAGCTGTCTACCTAGTTCCTTGATAATCACCGCTGACATTTGTAACAATAACATTATGAATAATAACAAGAAGTTAATGTCCCCTAGACTCATTATCCCAAAGCTTAGCCAAAGTTAATTCCCTGCAATTTTGGAGTATAGGGGTCTGGACAGAAAGCAGGTTAATAATCCCCCAGAAGCCTTTGAGAGAACAAACGTGGTGACTAGGAAGAAGGTGAGGTGGGAGATTCAGAATGTACCTATGACTTTACATAGTGTCCTAGACCCAGGGGTTTGGGCATGGGTCCATTATCATAGAACAGATTCACAGACTGGCTAAGTGAAATGTTTTAGCCCTGTAAGATAACACAAGAATCAGGGAAGACAGCCTACGGTCCAGCTTCCATAACATTGCCAAGCCCCTGGGCCCCTCAGCGACTCAACACAAAACAAGATCTCACCCACCCAGGATGAAGGGAGAGCTACTTTTGTTGGAAGTTACGCTTGTATGCCACCTGAGCGCCCATATGCCCATACCTGATAACGTCCAGGAAGACATCTGTGTAATAAACCTTCCCGTCCACACTGTCGTAGTCCAGGGAAATGACATTGTTGAGCTCAGGCACGGGGACGTGCACATCGGTGTGGTCATTGGTGTCCAGGGAGATGCGTCTGATGGAGCCTCGGCTGGAGAAGAGCAGGTAGGTCTCTGGGGAGGGGTCACAGGTCTTCCCGTCCCCCTTTAGCTGGATGCCTGTGGGGCAGGCGCAGGAAAAGCCTGATGGTCTTGGCAGACACAGGTGAGAGCAGCCACCGTTCTTTGGGCCACATTTATTTGAGCCTAAAGGGGCAAAGAAGAGCAGAATTAGTGTCCAGCCTGGCGCCCTGGCAAAGCAAAAAAGCAGCAGGCCTTGAGGATTCAGTCCTTTGCAACTCAATTCCGTCATTTCCACAGGGGGAGCAGAAAGGGGAATTGTGTGGGATGCCTCCAAGAGTTCTGGGGCAAGTGGAGACCTCATACTCTTATTGATATGGTCACAGAGAGAGGGGATATCACTCCACACTAGAAAGCAGTCAGTCAGCCAGTCAATAAGCATCTACTAAGCCCCTACTATGTGTCAAGCACTGTATCCCAGTTAAGCGCTGGGATTACAAAAGGAGGCAAAAGACAGTTCCTGCCCTCAAGAAGCTTCCAATCTAATCAATTCAAATAAAGCAATTCAGGCAAGTTAATTCATCTCCCTGAGTTTTGGTTTGCTCCTCTGTAAAACGGGGACAATAAGGTTTCGCCATTGCTTGAGTACAGCTCTGAGCTCCAGGCACCCTGTGGATATCCCAGTAAGGCACCTGACAGACAGCACCCGGGGGTCAGCTCACCCAGCAGCTGTTGTCGGTCCACAGCCTGGATGTCCATGAGGCCAGGAAGGTTGGCCCGCACCAGGATAACATTGCTCCCCGTGCCCTTGTCAGCACGGTGGATGCTACGGGTCTGCCAGTCAGTCCAGTATATGTAGGAGTCAAGCAGGGTGAGGCCATAGGGATGTTGAACAGGCGACACCAGTGTGCGCCGATTGGCACCATTGAGGTCAGCGGCCTCGATGCGCTGCAGGGGAAGGAGGAGAAGGGAGAGGACATGAAAGGACTAGGAGCCATCTGAGGCAGAAAGCCTTTAAGTCAATTAGCTGGGGATTCTCCCAGTCCCCTGGGGGTAGAAGACCTCCCTCCTTTCTCTGTTTGCTCCTTACTTCCTTACCCACCTCAGTGTGGGCATCAGCCCAGAGCAGCTGGGAGCCAGCCTTGTCCACTGTCAGCCCATTGGGCCAGCCCAGGTTGTTGTTGATGAGCACGGCACGGTCTGAGCCGTCCATCCCAGCCCGTTCCAGCTTGGCATTCTCCCCCCAGTCTGTCCAGTACATAGCCCTGGGGGAGGCAGAAGCCCCAGGTGAAGTGAGCATCTCCACTGGGTATGCCAGAAAGCACGGCCAGGGCCCATCCACAGCAAAATCAGGCAAGTCACCCCAGATCCCCAGAGGCCCCTCTTCCTAGTCTTACCCCATCTCATGGTACAACACAATGGCCCGGGGGCTGTCCAGGTTCTGCCACACCAACACCTTCCGCATGGACCCATCGAGGTTGCCCACTTCAATCCGGTTGGTTCCCGTGTCCGTCCAGTATACTTTCCGGCCAATGGCATCTACAGCCAGCCCATCGGTGGTCTGTAATCCTGGAAAAACCAAAGAGATCACACGAGGTTCCGCATCAGAACCAGAGGGATCATCAGCCACCATGACTCCCTCTTCCCCGACCAAAGTCCTGGCCAGGCTTTCACAGAAGTACAGATTTAGAGTCAGAAGGGATCTTGGAGGGAAGAGATCACAGATCTGGAAGGGACCTCAGTTTCATCCAGTCCTCTTCCTTTTATTTTTTAATTTTGGAGGCAATGGAGGTTGAGTGACTTGCCCAGGGTCAAACAGCTAGCTAGTAAGTGTCTGAGGCCGGATTTGAACTCAGGTCCTCCAGACTCCAGGGCCAGTGCTCTATCCACTGCACCATCTAGCTGCCCTCTAGTCCTCTTCCTTTTACAGATGAGGAAAGTGACTCCCCATGGCGCCGTGTGACTTGTTCATTGTCACTAGGGGAAGAAGGATCAGAGGCGAGATTTGATCCTAGGTCTTCTGTTTTGAGATCCAATGCTCTTTCCATTGGACCACACTATCTCTTCATCTAATCTAACTTCCTCATTTTGTGGATGAGGAAAGTGGGGCCCAGAAATATGAGGTGATTTGCTCAGGGTCACAAGGAGTTGTAATTGGCAGTCAGGATTCAAACCCAGGTCCTGTGACTCCAAATCTGGCCTTGTTTCCTCTATACCATGGCTTTCCCTACTAGGCTGGTTGCGGTCAGTCTCACCTGTGGTGATTATGTCCTCGTTCTGGGAGCCATCTAGGTTGGCCCGGCTGATCCTACGCAGTGTGCTGTCTGACCAGTAAACTTTTCCTGAAGGAAGAAAAGTCTGGTTCAGCCTCAATTCCTATTCAGTCCCATCTCCACTCCCTCTGTACTGACTGTCTCCTCTATGTGGAACACTCTTCCTTCTCACCCCTGACTCTTAACCTCCTTCAAGCTTCAACTCAAATCTTCCCTTCTACAGGATACCCTTCCCAGGCTCCCTCTCTACCAGCTGCTAGCAACTTCCCCTCTGAGACTTGCTCCCATCTACTCTGTCTATATCTGTATATAACTAGTTATTTTCATGTTGTTTCCTCACTTGAATGTAAGCTCCTTGAGGTCAGGGATCGTGTTTTTTCTTTTCTTTGTATTCCCAGTGCTTATCACAATGCCCACTTAGTAAATGCAAAAATTTTTTATAGCAACTCTTTATGTGATGACAAAGAACTGGAAACAGAGAGGGTGCCCATCAATTGGGGAATGGCTGAACAAGTTATGGTATATTAATGTGATGGAATACTATGGTGCTGTAAAAAATGATGAATGGAGTGTTTTCAGAAAAACCTAGGAAGACTTGTATGAACTGATGCAAAATGAAGTGGGCACAACCAAGAGAACAATTTATATAATAACAACAATATTGTAAAGAGAAATAACTTTGAAAGACTTAGGAACTCTAATCAAAATAAGGAGCACTCAGAATTCCATAGGACTCATGATGAAACATGCTATCTGCTTATAGATAGAGAGCTGGATAGATTCAAAGTACAGATTGATACATTTGTTTTGGACATGGTCAATGAGGGAATTTGTTTTGCTTGACTATGTGTTTACAATGGTGGTTTTATTTTTCTTGGTTTCTCAATAGGTGAGTTGAATGGGAGGGAAAAAAGTGAATGAGAAAATAGAATAAAATTTAATTTTTAAAAATCGCTTGTTGATTGACTGACAGATACCCAATAGCTTCACCCCCTCTAAGAGTACAGAAGGCAGTTCAAGAGATGAAGTAAGAGTCACAGAAAATTCTAAGCAGAGAGCTTCAGGTATTCAGACAAAGCTATGTGGGACATAGCCCTGGGTGAGGCAGAAGCCCCAGAGACATGATGTGGGGAAAGAAGAAAGGATCAAAAGCCATAGACAACACTCTTGGAGACAAATAGAAGGTACTATGGAGAGAGGGAGCATGTATTAAGTTACAGAGAGTAGGTAAATCTCAGACTCTGAGTAGTGGCCTAAGAAGAGAGCCTACATTGGCTTTAGGGAGAAGAGTAGAAGGATTTTTACCCCACCCTTAGGGGCATGCGGACCTTCCTGGGGGTCCACCCCAATGGCAATGGTATTCTTCATGGTGATATTGACCGGCACCACAACGTCAGCAAAGTATGGGATGTCCAGGGAGACCATGCGGATGTCTATTCTCCTGGCGAAGATCAAGAAGCTTCTCATGCCTGCAATGGTGGAGACTGTCCTAAGGAGATTGCCTCTGTCCATGGTCCTGCCTTTCAGGGAACCTGCTACCAAGAGCTCAGGTGTTGGAGAAAAGGGATATCTCATACATTTACCCTTCTGCTCAAAGAGCATGGGCAGACGTTTCCTCCCTCCTAAGTCATGGGCCCAGGGTTACAGAATCTTCCCCCAAATCACAGGATGTCAGAGTCAGAAGTGACCTTAACAGTTTTTAAGCTAACTCCTACCTGAAAAAAGAATCCCCACTAGACCATATGCAATGAATACTCAACCAGCCTCTGCAGTGAAGATCTCCAGCATAGGGGAACTCACTACCTCCCATGGCAGCTTAGTCCTCTTTAGATTAGTACTAACTCTTAGAAAATTTTTCCTTATATCACATCTCAATTTGTCTCCCTTCAACTTCCACCAACTGGTGCCAGTTCTGCCCTCTGGGGTCAAGCAGAAAAAAGCTAAACCTTCTTCCATGGAAGGGATACCAAGAATTCCTTGGAAACATGAGATCTCTGCAATACAGCAGGTCTCGAAGGAAATCTCACTTCCATTATACTAGCACCACAGATCCTTCTCCTAGGCCCCTTCAGCACCCCAGCTGTCTGCTCCCCAGGGTCTCCTCCCTTCTCTAGAGGGGCTCAATATTCAAAGAATTTCTTAGACCTAATTGGGCCCTCTCCTTGGATAAGCAGGAAGCTCACTCTTCATTCACAGTGAGGCTCTAGACCACCAGGTCTTGCGTTCTTCTGCACTCACCAGATGAACAGGTCTTGCCGTCAGGCAGAAGGTTGATTCCCGTGGGGCAGGTACAGCTGTAACCTTTGGGGTGTGGGGACCGAAGACACAGGTGGCTGCAGCCCCCATTCCCCACAGCACAGGGAGTGTGCACTGGGGAAGAAGGAGAAGGAAAGAGCAATTGAGTGAACCCTCCTCACTTTACTCATCATGCTTTGGACTTCTCCACCCCCTCACCAGCAGCCTTCTCCCCACGAAGATGCCTCTGCCCTAAGGCCAACGATCCTGATTGGGAAGTGCCGTGCCTGGGTCGCCATTTTATGATGCACTCAGACCTTGGCTCCACTCCTCAGTCTCCTGCCAGCAGCCTTGTTTCCACCCCATCGCTCTGCTTGTCAGCTCCCCTCAACATCCCCATTAGAATGGTCCAAGGATCAGGACTGTCTCATCTCTTTATTTTTTCTTGTACTTAAATCCCCAGCACTTAGTAAGTGCCTGGAACTAGGAAACACTTAATAAATGCGCTCTCTCTCTCTCTCTATCTCTCTCTCTATATATATCTATCTTTCTATCTATCCATCTCTCTAACTATACATCTCTTTCTATTTCTCTATTTATTCACCTATCTATCCACCTCTTTCTCTCTGCATCCATTCATCTATCCACCTGTGTATCATCTATCTATCCATCCACCTATCCATCCATCTATCTATCTATCTATCTATCTATCTATCTATCTATCTATCTAATCTCTTCCTCTGCAACCATTCATCTATCCATCTGTGTATCCATCTGTCCATCTATCCATCCA